TATCACTGTTTGCATTAATGGAATCCTGGAGAGCTGCAGCAAACTGTCTGACAGTCTGGAAGCAGGATGGGGATGTTCTGCTTTGCAAGAGTCTTATAGATATTTTCTGACAGTACAATTAATGCTTTTAAAGGTGTTGAAGTCCATTCTGAAGTCCATTCTAAAGTCCATATGGAAAGGGTGCCAATATTCCCATCCCCACACAAAGAATCGGTGCTGACAAGAGGTGCAGGGTACAGTGATTGGAGTGATCAGAGTGTGCTGGCAGCCTCTTCCAAAACTGTTCAAGTGTTTGCCAGTCAGATTTCTGGTGAGAGAGCATCATTCTCCACTGGGAACACTGAAAAGAAACAGCTCTGTGGATTTTAATCTGCAATTGGGATCTCTCAAGCCAGTGGCTAAAAAAAAAAAATGAAGACAATTGCTTTGCAACTTAAATTCAATTATGTTCCTTTTATCTAGATACAGTGGATTCAGTATGTCATATCAGTGTGACAAAAAAGGAAGTGAATTATTCTGGGCCCTAAAACTATTGTTGGGGAAGGAAAAGATTTGTAGATGCTAGTTAACATACTTTGACAACTGTTTGCCAAAGCCATTCATTACATCTGCCTCTGCATTAGAAAGGGCACAATATTTCATTTTCCATTTCCTTTCACAAATAGAAAATTAATTGCATAGACTTGCAGAAAGTGCAGATATAACTCGTTATGTATTGTTAAGGCTGTCTGTGATAAATTTATCAAGCTTAGACAAAAAGTACCCTGAAATCACAATGGATCCATCTTAATTAACATTATTTAAGTGACAGTTACACCTGTTTGGAAATAGGAGGTAAAAGCAGACAAATTTTCCAGAAGCACAGTAATAGTGATCCCTGGTTACAGAGGAAGCTGGAAAACATAAACTATACTTTGATTTGAGCCCCGTTACTACCCTTCAGGAATCAAATTCAAAGTCCTGTTTTGCAAATGAGTTATTCCAGTGTAACTGTAAAAAAATAAAAAAATACTGGGCTGTTATGACCACATGATAATGGTTATCTTGCTGTTGACTAGTGATGTAATTGAGCAGTTAAATGGGGTGAAGGTGAACCCATTAAAGTCCATCTCTATAATACAGTTATGACATATGCTGTTTATAGAACTCTCCAGCCATAAAACTATCTTTACTGTTATCCATCCCTGGTCATATTTGCTGATACAGCTTATCTCTGCTGGTGCCACTGGAGTGGTGCTGTGGAGACAGTCCTTAATGACAGCAGGAACCAGAGGGTGAACAAAAAAAGGAGGCAGAGTTTACAAAAAGAAGCAGCAAACAGGAGAAGGTCAGGGACACATGGACACGTTACTGCAACGTGCTGAGTTGCCTCGGCAAAAAAATACAGGACAGAAAGATAAGGAAGAAAATGAGAAGTTTTGCACTTGGATGAAGGCAGATGGACTTGCTGGTGGATACCTGAGCACTGAGAAGGGTTTTTAACAAGCTGATATTTCACTTTGGTTTCCTCTGGACTGAGGTTCCATCCTGGACATAGAGTTCATGAGGGAAGAGCACTAATGAGCTGAGAGCTGGAGGCCCTTGAGCTGAAGCCTTGCATGGCCTTACAAGGTTTTGGGGGAGTGTGGTGAGCACCAATGTCTCCATCACTGTCAAACTACACTGAAACACTCCCCATAAAGGCAGCCTTGATAAGTATTTTAAGACCCACAGTTGTTAGATTGTGATTTAGTAGTTATCTTGTTATCTGCAGTCTTGGTTTCTCATACCATCTGCTTTTAGAGCTTTTTTGATACAGGCCTCACTTTCGGCTGGTAGGTTATAAACACTTTGAAACTTGGGCTTTTCCCGTGTGCTTTTCAGACACCATCCTCTGACCTACATTTCACCCCTTCCTGCACTCCTTTCTCCCACCTCTGAATTTTTGGAATGCTAAGATCAGCCCTTCATTTTTTTTTCCAGTACTTTCTAGGTTTAAATTCCAACAACAAAAATAGAATTCAGTTTAATGCGTTTTCTTTCTATTTTTCCTTGTTATGTTTGCCAAGAAACTCAAATTTTTAAAGAAAACCAACCTCCAAAGTCAGTATCAGCCTGTTTCCTTAGTTGCTTCAAACAGTTCTAGAGTTTCTTTAGTTTTTCTGCTCAGCTATGCAGATGTAAAACATTCCTCCCTCAGTCTGAGCATGTACAGACCTCTCAGTGGCAGAGCAGGATGGAATTTGTGTGATGCACATACCTCATTCCATTTGCAGGTGTCACTGACAGCAAAACTGTGGAACAATTTTCATCAGGCAGGTCTCGAACTTGAAAACATAGGTATTTATGGTTTGTTTTCCTGAAACAAGTTTGGTTTACTTGGTTTCTGAGATTATCAAGGGTTTTTAGTAATGCAGGGGTCTGCCTAAATTAGTGAGTTAAAAGGAATCTGGTGCAGAAGATCTAGTTGTGCTCTTTGATTGGTAGGGTAACGTGTACATGTGAAATAATCCTTTCTTTGGTCTACAACAGCACTGCTGCTGATGTTGGTGGAAGGAGTTTGCAAAGACACCTTAGTGCACTTGCTATTTTAGTGATAATCCTATTTCCTCTCTGTTTAGAGCCTTGTTACAGCTCTGTTCTGGAGGAAAATATACAGTGGTACTAGAAGAGCATATTTCTCATCCTTTCTTCTGTTTCTTCCCCTGCTTCAGCTCCAAATGGTACTCTTTGCTCTTCACCACTGCCCTGCTTTATCTGATATAATGCTGTCAGCAGAGCAGCTGATGCTGACCTCCTCTATGCCGTTGTTATGCTTTAGTACAAGCATCCCAAGGCAGGTGAGAGAGTTTTTTCAGTTCTTGGTTGTTAGCTGACACTGTAACTTGGGTGGGTTTCACTGCCTTGGTTAAAACTCTAGGCAGGAACTCAAGATTCTCTTTCAGAGACAAACAACAGAAAAGAGTTCAAACACCATAGGATTGGGATATGCTGTTCAGGCTCAAAAAAAAATACACCAGTTAGGAAGAATGGAGCTCCTGCCTTTGAATTTAGCACATCAGTGGTGTACGGGCTTAAATTTATGGTCTCTCAGCCCTTTTATTCTCCTGCACTTTTTGGTGGTGGTGGTTAATGCTCTTTTGGTCTTGTCGACAGAAGAGCTTGAGGTGTAGTCAAGTGGGGCTTTAATCTCTGCTGGTGTCGTTCCTAGATTAGATTAGAGATTAGGTTTGTGGTCTTCTTATTCCATCCTTCTCCTGGCTCCACATCTTTGAGTCTACTGACTGCCAGCCTCTTTGAGATCAAATTACTGTACTCAGCAAAGACAAACCTGTGTCAGGTTCTGTGATTTGGGCAGTTGCTCCCTTTCAGTCGTTAATTACAGAGAATTTTCAGGGATGTACATCCCTGCCTGTTCCAAAATCTCAACCCTTTCCCTTTCTGTGACTTAGAAGATAATGAAAGACGAATGGAGAAAAAAAAGGAGATCCAGAAGGAAGTGAATGTTTTTCAGATGCTTAGAGCTGCTTCCCCATGCAGGGTTTCTAAAGCAACTTCCAAAATCTTTGGCTTAAACCTTTGCCTACATCCAAGAAACGAGTCTTCTCTGTCAGTTATGATAAATCTGAATACCCCTTTCTGGTGTCCAGCTTTCAAAACATTTATTCTTCTTAAAGAATATTTAGAAAACAAAATAATGACCTGCTTAAGTAGTATATATGTCTGACTTTTGTCGCTTGGATTTGCAGATGGAAAATTGTTTGGGTCATAGGTATAAAATGCAAGGATGCAAGGCCAGGTTTACTAATAGGATTGGTATGTATCATACAAGGTGAGCTCACAAGCCATGGTTTGGCACAGCACATGAAACATCTAGATAACCTTAAGCAACAATTTCAATTAGATCCTTATCAGAGTTACACCAGTCAATTTAAGCAGCAGAAGCAGCAGCATGTAATTTCTGTGACATAGATTTCACAAACTGAATAATTCATAATTATGTGGACTTCAGGAGGTGGAGCAGTGCACAGATACTCTGTGGCCTCTTCTCTGTGCATGAAATACTTTACACTTGCAGTGAACCTTTAATGAAGTGGCCCATATCCCACAAAAGCTGAGGTAAACTGAAGAAGGTACAAAGAAATTGTGAGTGCTCCTTAATTACCTACAGTATAAAATAAGCTTCTCAAGCATAATTTAGTGTCTTCTATTAGTTAACTCATCTCAAAAATGTTACCGTAGGCTTGTGTGCATGCATCAATGAGAGAGGGCATGAAAGTTTAAATGTAGTGTGATTTTTAATCCAAATAATTTAAGATACAACCCTTTATGTGGAGGCAGAACTGTTGGTCCAAAAGTGCCTTGTTTCCACACCGTCCATCCTTATTTCTTCATAGGAATAGCTGAAAGGAATGAATGTCCCTTCATAATGCAAAGCTGTGGTGGGATGGCCTCTCTGGGTTCCCTCTCTGTGGGCCAAGGGCAGTAATGCCCCAGCTGCTGAACAACAGCAGCACACATCAGAAGGGAGGAAGATATTGCTGTGTTGGACAGTTGTTAAAGAAAAAAGGGAGAGATAACTTCCTCTCCCTGCAACTATCTGCTTCAAGCTGTTTTCCAGGAGATTATCTGCACAGTGGTTTTACAAATAGCATAGAGAGACAAGCCAGCACAGAAGCAGTAGAGGGACTTAGGACTTTCTGTCTGATGTCTTGGTGTGTTCCAAGTCAGCTTGATACAAAATCTGTGAGCGAGAATTCTCAAAGTATTTTCCCTTCTCATGACAACAGGAGTGTGCAAAAAGCTTCTAGTTTTGGAGATTACTACCCCACCTCAATCTGCTTCCCTCTAGAGATGACCAGAGTGAAGGGGGAGATTGATGAAAATTTACTTATCCCAAAGGGCAGAGCAGATTCCCTCCATTTCACAACCCATCATGATTCCCCCAGCTATGTTTGCTTTTTTTTGTTTGATAGAATTGATGTATTTCACACTGAACTCTATTCTGCACGGAATTCAAAGCAACTGTATTTGCTGGGACTAATTGTAAATGAATCATTTTCTGTTCCACAGTTAAAGCTCAGAACGTTATAGTTACATTTTCATTTTGGAAGGGCAACCTCTTTTCTCAGGTAGGAAACAAAAGTTTGTGATACAGGGCATTTCTTGGAGCTTGACTCTATAAATAACTGTTCTGTAGAGCACCTAAACTACACCAAAACACCAGGTCTAATATGAGCTATGGAGGAATTTTGTGCAGAGCTACCTAACTTGACACTTGGTCAGTGCTCAGTGGTGCTGCTTCTCTCCAATGTGTCAGTGCAGAAGCCACACAATTTTAAGTGTGATGTGACTGAATGTTTTTAATATTGCTGTGTTTGCAGCAGGGCTGGGGTTGTACTTCTGAACCTGGATTCAGGCAGGAGTTTAGCATTTCTAGGTGTGTACCTCTGCTGAACTTCTAGCAAAAGGTGGAGTAAGGCACAGTATTAGTATGCTGGACTGAGGAAAACATTAAATATGTATCTGTCTCAGCATCCAGCAGCCATCAGGATAAAGAAGTTGTGTGCCAGTTGGTGCAAGCAGCAGCATCCTGTTGTGGAGAGAAGTGCTGACCACACTTCACCTTTTGGGCTGGTTGCCTTCAGGGATTTTCTATCAGAATCCACTTTCAAAATGCGCTTTGTCTTCCAGCCTTCTCTGAAGTCTCCTTTGTCTTCAGGTCAGTTATTCTTCACAAAGTTCTTCTCCAAATTTCAGTAAAAACCCAGGGGATAGCCGGCAATCCACTGGAACTGAGGAAAGCTGAAATCATGACTTTGCAATCTATTTTTTAGAAGCTGACTTTAAGAATTTATTCATTCCTACTGCATGTGTCTGCAACTCAATCCAGTAGGCATAAATGACATACAACCTGGAGTAAAGGTTGTACCTGAAGTGCATTTTTCCTTTTATTTTTTTCCTCTTTAAAAAGTAGTTGCTGTAACAGATTTTCAAAATTATTTAAACCCTTGTGGGGTCATCTCAGATGTCTTTGGTGTCCAGATGTAATTTTCTTGAAAAGCTTAATTTTTCAGATGATATATACTTAGCACAGTTTTGTTTCCTAGCTCAGGAAAAACAGACCTTCTGAATCACCACTGTGTCCAGTTGCTCTTTGTTTTACCTACTGTTGATAAACTTTGTGTAATATAGACTAGTTGTACCTAAATAGTCAATAACATCTTCATTATGAGCTTTGTTATCAGTTTCTCGTGGATGTCACAAAAGCAATGAGCCCTGTGTTACGTTGTGGAGGAAAAGCAGGAACTTGAGGGTCAGTTTGTGGAGGGGGTGAAGGTGGAAGGGGACTTTTGGGCGTGTGGGGCCATTTGTGCACGAGATGGTTCAGCAGCAGAGCTGGGGATGCTGGGGCTGGATGGTGGGAAATGAGGATGAAAAAAGCAGGGTGGGGAAGCTGGAAGCTCAGACCAAGGCATCTGAAGGTGATGTGGTGACACAGCGGGGGTTGTCAGAGGAATTGAAAGCACGGAGTAAAATGTCTGGGGCAAAAGGCGAGGAAGGTTACCTCCGGAATCTGCGTGGGGTGGGAAGGATCAAGAAGTGCCTGAAGGGAGAAGGTGGGCAGAGAGAAGGGTTATTGTGACATGTTACCTGGAAATAAATGATGAATGTTCTGTTCTATGAAACGAATTACTTTAGAAGTGCATAAAAGGGTGGGAGTCACTTGACTAAATGTGGACAACTGTGTGTAGGTATGGATACCTCAGCTTACTATCTAAATCCCTGTAAATGGGAGAGAAAAATACTCATAGGAGTCTTGGGTTCCTGAGGGCGGGACCTTTACAGAACTCTGATAGTTCTGCAGTTTTTAAAGTTTCTCTCCATTCAGCAGGTTCTGTCGCACAGAAGGGCCTGGAAACTGCTGCTCACTTTATGGTGCCAGGTTGTTTTGTTTGGCAGTGCTGAAAGGCAAAGCTGAGTTCTTCGTCTGAAAATAGGATAACAGAGCAAAAGGTTACCCAGCACTCTTAAACAGATGGCCACTCAGACCCAAATTTCACTGGAAGCCTGCAGTGTACCTGGAAATTAGAAAGCAGGTGTCTCTTAGATGGTAAACCCAAAACCAGAGCAACACAACACTGTGGTGACTGTAATACCATGACTGTATTGTGTAATAACTATAATAGTGATGGTATCTGCAAGTGTAACCTCTAATTACTCTGCCTGTTTCTCCAAACTCTTCAGGAAGGGAAAATAACACCTATTTCACACATGTTGTGAAAATTAAATTTCCCAATAGGCAAGAGCATAGGAGTGTTTCTACAGTGTCAAACCAAACTCGCTTCTAATACAACATTTCTGTCTCTGAGGGTGACCAATAGTAGATACATAAAGGAGAAAAGATAAAATGTGACATACAGGGTGTGATACTGCCTGGATTATAATTTCCTGCTTCCAGCAGTCTGCAGATTAGGGATTTTCTGAGTTTGCTTTTGAAGCATCTTGTGTAATAGAATGGTGCTTTCCCTTATTTATATATGTTTGCTTTAAGATTGTTTCTGTCCTGTGGCATCTGGCTCTTCCTATCCAGCTCAGTGTCACGTGCAGTGCATTCCAGTTGACTTAGTAGCCTGACACCCCTTTTTAAAACTAATGAAAGAAACCAGGTCTTCTGAGAGTCACTGCTGATAATGGGAGTTGAGTTCTGAAACGATTTTTGGAAATACGTTGCTGGAATATGTGTGGGGTTTGGAGAATGAAGGCTAGTGAATAAATTCAAATGCTGTTTTGTGTTTGGGGGTGGAAAGGACAATAGAAAGGGATTATGTTTCACTTGGAGTTATCCAGTGTTAGGGAATTGGACATGTGGCATGAGAGAAATATTGTTGTTGCCACTGGTTATAGTGGATACTTGTGAAATACTGAAGTGTTGGAGTGGTCTAGTACCTCTCGTAGATGAGGTGTAAGTAAATAGAAAACTATATTCTCCGTGGCTGGTGCACATGAGCATAGTACTGTGAAAGATTTATATACCAGCCAAAACTCCGTCCTGTTGTACCTCTGCCTCTGTTAGAGGCACAAATATTAGTTTATTTTACTTTCTAGGTGGTTCTTGTCAAAGGGTTGTTGCGGGAAAGGGGGGCACCCCTGCTGTTCTCTTTTTTTGTACTGACTCGTCTCCTAACACTTGCTTAAAAGTAGCACTGAAATCAGCCCAGGTCCCTCGACTTCTCCCAAGGGGGGGGGATGTGGAGAGAGGTGAAAGTGTCTACCACAAATACATAATTCTCTTTTCACTTCATTGTTCCCTCTCCGTGGGAGCTGGCAGGTGTGCTGAGCGGGAATGGCGCGCGGATCGATGCCGAGGCGATCAATGCCACGGCAGCTGGGCCAGGGCTGATCGCCTCCAAATCAATTCACACACTGCTCTTGCTCAGGTTACCTGCCACTTCAGAAGGAGGCAGGGATGGGGAAGTGAGAAGAAAATTGCACAAAAAAAAGTATGCTGGGACCCTTCTAAATAGGCCACTTACGTGCAGCCCTTCCTCCCTCGCGCGTGCGTTTGTACGAGATGTAAGCGTGTGATAAGGTCACGATGCAATGCCTTGTTTGAAACTCAGATGCTGCTCAGAGGGAGGAGAGCGGGGCCCTGGAGAATGCCTGGAAAATTGTGTGGAAGAGGCCGAGCAATCCTCTGTCTTCACTGTTTTCCACCTTGTGTTTTAGGTACTTAAACTAGTCGAGCACTGCTGTTTGGTCCTGCGGATCTTTGTGCCACGGGGAGCTGTGGCTCCTCGTTTCTAAACACTCCTCAAGGTGAATGGTTTTTTGTTTTACTTTAGTAAGTCAGGAGTTGTGCATGTCGAAAGTGCCTTTTGTACAAAGATCTCAATTTACTTGGCAAACTTCCACGCATTAAAGTCTCCCTGCTTTGCTGTCAAGGAGTGAGGTATTGTTATCTCCATTAAGAGCAAGTGAGCCAGGGATAAATGCCTAGTCTCTTCTTATAGCTACTGCTTCCTTTTATTTCCTTTTCTTCACATGGATAGTAGCCCTTAATTTAGAGATTGTTGAGACAAGAGATGGTTCTGGCCCCAACAGAACAGGGATGGCACCTTATCCCCATGCCAGCACAAGGACATCTCCCATTTTCCTCTCCTGCAAGTGGCTGGCTGTGGCCCAATTCGGTGCTGTCCTAAGGGATTCTCTTGTCTGTGCCACAGTTGCCATGGTCCCTAGGGAAGCAGTCAGCAAGTAATTTAGGGGCAGGACCACCCAGCAGCCTCTTCTCCCTGCCAGTCACTGACGTGAGACCTTGGCAAAAGGCTCAGTCTTGCGTGGGAGCGTGGATCCATGTGCACAGAGGATAATCCAGCAGGGAACTCTATCCTGCACAAGGGTAGCCATGAACTGGGCGCTCTGGCTTCATGCATGGAACGTGTCAGTTGGGGAGGGGGAAATAAATGCAGTTGGCTGAGTGAATTGCTGGAAGCAACGCTGGAAGGCAGCGGCAGATCTGTGGAAAGACTTGAATATTGCTCCAGCCCTGCTGTTTCTAGCAACAACACTAGTGTTCTATGATAGAATATATTCAGAGACCATTGCTGTGTAGGGCTCTGTGTCCTCTTACAGCTTAGGGTGGCACAGGAGCCATGTTCCTCTTGGAGCAGAAGGCAGGAACAGCATGCACGGAACGGGTACAGACACATCAATAAGGAAGAATCAGCACTCATTCATTTTGTTTATTGCCCACTAATTTTAAGGAGTGCTGATACACTTGTCTGTTTTCAGTATCCAATTGCAGCTAATCATAACAGGAAGTAAATATTGGCCACTGCCTTGGGAACACACTGGATCACAAGCGGTTTGTGGCACAAGTTGTCTTTTTGCTCGGCACCTGATGTGGTGAGGCCTTGTTTCCAACTGGGGAACAAGAGGTCGAAGGTTGCCCATCACATGAACCCTCCTGCTCCAAGATAAAGCTGCCAGGTGGAGCCGGGCAGGTGAGCAACCCTATGGCAGGGCCTGATAGTGTGAGCTGTTGCCAGTTGTGGAGTACTCTGAGCACGACAGGAAGGTCCAGGAAGATTTAAGTGTCTGAAACAGCATAAGAACAATAACTTCTTGCTGTTCTCCCCGGGAATGGAATATTCTGTTTTATGTAAATTCTGAGGGGATACAGGATAATCTGCTGTTTGTAATCCAGATTCATGGTGGGGTTTTGTTGGTGTTGGCTGGTCTGTGACGTTCAAGTTGTGATGGAGCAGGATAATGGAGTGATTTACTCATCTGGTACTTGTGATGATGTAGCAAGCCCCTCCATACCAGATAGGTGGACATCACCTACTCAGCATGGATACTGATCTGGATGTGCAAAGGATTAGAGAGCTTTTAGAGCCATCTAAAACTTTTTTGTGTTGCCTTTCTTGAGAGAATCCTGTCTGTCATGGTTACATCTTGGTACAGGGCTGGCTGCTGGCATCTGGAGAGGGTTACCATGGTGATGCTTTGAGTTATATGCCAAATTTAGTGTTCACTATAGGTATGGAAAGTATACAATAGCTATATATGGCTTAAGGAGCCTCACAGCCCTTGGAGCACTCACGTAGCAGCCCCATTTGAGCTGAAGTTGCAAAGATGTTGGAGAGGGATTGTTGTCTTACTGGGCTGAGTGTGGAGATGCTAATAACCTTGGAAAACTAGGATGGGTGGCGTGGCCAAAGGTTCTCATAATTACCTAGTTAATGGTGCTGTTGTTTAAAGTATCAGCTTACTCTGTGTGATAGGGAAATAAAGACTTTAACATCTTGAGAATGGCTCTTGAGGACTTGTTAGGAGACTGCATCTGCCTTTGTTCCCCGGAATTGAGGCTCTAGGGCGTGTGTCCGTGTTGAAGTGAACCATTATCACTCTGAGCTGCCCGGCTCTGATCTCTCAAAAAGGCCCGAGGAGCTTTACTGAGGAGCTTTATTGAGCACACCTCGGTGTTGTCTGGAGCTGGGTGGAGGCCAGAGCAAGTTGAAATCCTGTCTTCTGGCCCACTGTGCCTCTCGTGGGCTTGAGCTGCTTTCCTGGGGTCTGAACACTGGATCTCATCTGGTAATAGAGCTGTTTATGGTAATCCCAGCAGTTCCAGACTGTTATGGGACACCCCTCAGAACTGGGAAACCCCCACAGATGCTGAAGCTGAGCAATGGAGGTGCTGTCATGGCAGGGTAAAAGCACTATTTGGGCAAAACAGGCACAGTATTTTCCTGGTAGATACACAGATGGTTTTTTTTACCCTCTATTGGCTTAGTGAGACACAACTTTTTAGAATGATCTTCTAAGATAGCTGAAGTCTCTCTTGAACTTTAGCCCTTCAGTTCTGGCTCTTGTTGAGCTTGGAAGGTCTGGTTGGTTTATTTTTCCATCTCTAGAGTATGGGGATGGAAGACAATACTGATTGCTACAGTCTGATTACACCCTTAATCATTCCTGGTTTTGGCTGTTGCTTGGAAGTAAAAGGATGGTTTCTTCCCCCTTGGATGTGGTTCCTGTGCTGTCCCACTGACACAATTGACCCTTGCATAGAGAAGTGTCTGTACTGCCTTGTACCTTTTCTGTGGTCTGTTGG